TCATAATGAAGTAATACACGTAAAAGGAGACAATTATATATGTGGTCTATATATATATATTTCAGACATCTTTATTAACATGAGGTAAAACTGCGAACTGTGTCATTTGCACTAATGCAAAGAAAACCAAGAGGCTCATGAAGCCCCTCTGTGTGCACTGTTCTGCTGCAGAGTTTACAAGTTTCTCTTGTATTTCACACACCGGACACGTCTCAAACAATCCAAGTATGACGTGTGTGCTTTATTGGACTAAAATCTGTGAAAAACTAATGTTTTAGTGTATTAAGAATACTCACAGATCAAACTGTGTAAAACGCGTTAAAGCCGGTTCCTTCCACCTCATTGCGCCCTCTCGCTTGCTTAAACATTATTAGCTCTGGTCACTTTATCGCTGCAATTATTGCGCGCCGCAATGCAAAAAGTACTAGATGAATTGCAAATGTGTTGTGATTCACTTTTGCAGTTTCCCCTGAATCAGCCCGCTAAACACGTGGAGTTCTCCCCCCTCTTGTTTGAACCAGCTACTTCTGAAATGAGCCTTGCTCTTTGATTGCATCATGGAGTGCAGCTTTCATCAGATGCCTCGTAGATTGCGGAGCCAGACGAGCTACCGGGGCCAATGTTGAGGCCGTGGCAATTGGGGGGTATAATTAGATAGAGTTGCTGAATATTTGTTGCGGAAAAATATAATTGGCCGGCGCAGATGGAGAACGTGGACCCCTGCACGAGCGTAAAACCAAAAAGGCCACAACCCCCCCAACCCCCCTAGATGACACATGACACACACATTAAAAATATTAACTTCTATCAAAGCAATGTAGTGTTATAGGCGATACCATGTCCAACGTGCTGGAGACCAATTCTCACATTTAGCGCTCGTCCAATCTTTGCAAGAACAAGGAGAGAAAAAGAAGAAAGAATGTCTGGATAAGCCGCTTACGTCCTCCTCTGGAATGCTTATTGCTACTGATACATGTAGATTAGAATTAGACACAACAGATTTTTTATTGGTGACACAGCACTCAGCCAGCGACGGCCTCCTAAGACAATCTGTCATTTCAGCGAACCGTCCCTTGGCGGTTTGGGTGTCTCTAGTTGGTAGAACAATACATTTATTGATAGGTTGGTGGATAAACCGGCACCAGAAACAACCAATGAACACATTCTGTAGCAATTATCTCTTTCGTTATCAATTCATCTGAGTATTTTGATGAATCAAATAGGGATGTATTGAAAGATCCATAAAAATAAAAAGATATATATATATATATAATGATTTTGAAGAGAGACGTGCAGTTTCAGGAGGAAGAATCGTCGATTGATTGCTCCCGATTCTTTGACTAATTCTGTGGAAAGCTGCTGGATCCACTAATTGTTTCAGCACTATATGAGAAAGAGCCTGTGGATTCATCGAGTTTAAAGCAAGAGCCGGTGTAATGAGAGAAAGCGGCTTGTGCGCACAAGGTGTCTGGTTTGAATCGTTCAAAAGAAGAAGGAAGCAGACGTTGTCCAAGCGGTCGAAGGTCGCCGTCCAGAAGCTGTACGGGGTACGAGGTGTCAAAGGGAAGTGTTTGCTCGATGCGTGACTCATTCAATGACTATCAGATACGATATATGTGAGGATCAGCAGCCCCCCAACAGGATTAACAACTGATTCCTGCATAAATAATCAGTGTTTGTCCTCCGACTGTTAACACGCAGGCTTTTCCAATATGATGCATCTCTTCCTAGAGGAGACGAGTGACAGGCGCTGCACACAAAATGATACGGTGAATTGGCTTTTCTTATTTTTCCCCAGCTGAGGGGTATGAAATTAAAGCATTACTTCCTTGCAATTATCGTAAAAGCAAAAATATAATAATCAGTTGTGATCATTTTAATGTGAAAAATCGAATATACAAAATATTTTCTTTCTCATTCTGTTGCTGTGAAATACAACACACTTATAAAAAGTCAATATTAAAATGATTCTCTCTTTAGTTAAGATATACCATGATCAGTTTGGGATGCAGTAAAGCTAAAAGAAGTATTCCAGGATGCAGCACAAGCTTTAATAGCGTCTCAGCACGAGTGTTCATTAAAGTGCACTTTACTGTACAGTGTTGTTCTGACCTGCGTGGTGAAAACTGCATGTATAATTATATATATATATATATATATATATATATATATATATATATATATATATATATATATATATATATACATACATACACTGTATATGTGTAAATATACACACACGAGCCAACGCTCTGGTTACTTGGTTACTAACAGTGAGCAGCGGGAGTAAAGTAAAGTGAAACAAAGGATGCAGGAGTCCAAAGCGCGCTGATATCACACAGGAAAGAAATCTCCGTGCCACAAGAATGATTCTGTGTAATAGAAAAAGGTGAAGAAAAAAGGCTTCGGGGAGAAAAGGTAGAGGTTTTTTTTCAAAATGATTCCTGTTCATTTCATCACAAACATTTTTACATTCAAACTACCAAAAAGGAAAAGAAAAATCAACACGTTAGCTTGATTTTTCACCATTTTTGGATGAAATTAACTAAATAATTGAGAAAATAATTGGCAGATTTATGGATTTAAAAAAAAAAAAACTCAGTAGTTGCAGTAACATTTAATTATTAGTTCTACAAACACTTTGCAAAGTGTCTTGAAATCAATACTAGTATAAGTGTTAGCAGCATGATGCGTACGTGTCGGTTCTTACGTTGTCTTCAGGTCTGCAGCCGGGAACACGAGGTGGGAGCCGCATGCGTTTGCGTGTCACTTAGCGCACCTGAATCGGGACTCGAGAAAGACTCGCGAGTGACGGCGAGTCATCGTCGGCGCGGCGTTGAGGTTACCGCGCCTCTGCACCGCTGGGGATTTTCAGATTTTTACATTTGAAAAGCAAACCGGGGGCCGACAATCCTCCACTTCCTCTCCCTCTCACAAACACAGCAGACACACACACACATCTGCTCATTTCAGAGCACCACGTCCTTATCTGGCTGTGTGATATTCAATATGCTTCAGGTATCAGGACACCAACCTATGCAGATGAGACCAAGGGAACAATGTCTCAGAGACCACATACTGTGGCTGCCGGCTTTGACTTCTCGGCACAAAGACGGAATTGTTAAAAACATTTCCTGAAACCTTTTATGTGGAGGCAGAGCTAAAAAGCTGCTAGCTTAGCATAAAGGCTGGAAAACGCTAGCCGGGCTCAGGAGACGCGTCTCACAAACACCTCTGAAGGGCACTAATTAACACATTTTATATTGTTTGTTCAATCGGAACACAAAAGAGGAATTTATATTCTGCAAGTATTTCCTATCAGTGAAACTCGGGGAAGTTCTCAGTCGTGACTTTGCACAGATGTTCCAGGAATAGAAATAGACTGGAAACAGCTGCTCTCTTTAAAGTTAGAAAATATCCCGACCAGATCTGCGACAAATGTCTTTAATATTTTAATGAAGCGAGGTTTGTGTCGCGGCAATCGGTATTACGTTTTTTACATTTTCTATGGTTTTTGAGGTTTGCCGTATAGCGTTTGGCTCCAATCAGTGCGCTTCACGCGAGGCCGACGCCGCTGCTGAGAGCCGCAAAATCGGAGCCGCAGCGAATTGTTTGTTGCTGCAGTCGGGAACCAAACGGCGAATGAATCTGAGACGACCAGGAGTGAGTTCATGGCTCAACTAATCACGACTGAAGCAACTCTTTAGCGCGTTTCTATGAAGTGGAACTCTTTATCTTAAGATCAGTGTGCGATTTCTCTCCTCAGGTTTTTCATGTATACAGCGGACAAAGAGCTGTGGTGATCCGTCACGGAGAGGCCCAAGCCCTCCGGTGCTTGAACTGCCGGTCTGGCTTTTACATCTGGAACTCTTGAAGAACCAACACAACTTCTCCAACGGTTCATTTCTATTGGAAGGTAGAACTTTTGGTCGCGCTCGAACTCATCTCAGCAAGCGTCGACGTCGCGTTCCTCCACGAAAGCGGATGATTTGTGAGGCGTTTCAACACAAATATACCCAATAATTTCCCCATTTTCCAGACTGCAGTTTACATTTACATGTCTATTTAAATAGCACAGTCCGCTAGTAGAGGCCTGTGATGAAATGGTTAGAAAGAGGTTGCCGGCAGTTGCGTTTGATTTGGCACCGATGTTCAACAACCACATGCAGAGAGAAAAGTATTGTTAGAGGAAGGAGAGATACCAATTTTCTCTCTGACAGGACACTCAGTCGAGCGCCAAGCGGGATGTTCGACTCGGCGGTCCGCGGCGTCTCCTCAGGCGCGCGCATTCTTTTCCTTTCTCACAGGTGTTAAAATGCATTTTTGGGGGGAAAATGTAAGATATCAATAACTTAAGTGGAAGTAGAAAAGGCGAGATTGTGAGATTGTGCCTCTCAGCCACTGGATCTTATTGGGAGTGACACCCGGGTGGCAACTGCCGCTTTACGAAAATGAAAAATGTCAACGTATAAACGTAATACGACGTGTGTGACGGGTGCGTGTGATGCTCGCTGTTCGACACACGCGTGTGACCCGCGGATCAGTTGGACAGCTCAAGGTTAACGCGCGCGATAAAGGTTTGCTGACACCTTTATCCGACAATCTTCATTAAAAAATACAATCAGGACATCGCGCTGTTCTGGTTCTCTGTCTGATTTCTGAGTTACATGGAAATCACTCAATCCGAGTCACATTTAGAATATGATGCGTGTTTGACGGTTCACTGCTGTAAGAGCGGTTGAAATAACTTTTGGGTCAGCGGAGACCAGCTGTTACAATCAAACAACAATGTAAACCACCACTGATCCGGGATTAAAACTCCATTTTTCCTTTCCTGGTTATCCGATTGCTGATCCGATCCAAACTGTGGCTTTGGTGAACCGTTGCAGGACGGTGAAGGTTGAGTAGATGGAAAAAAAAGTCCCAAACGCACATTAAACAAGGACACAAACTCGCCAAAACGTTTGAACTGAAGGGGCCGAGCGAGCGTTTGCACTTACTGTATCTCTTTGGTCCGTCCTCGAGGCAGAAGGAGAGCGTAAGAGTGGCGTCCTCCTCAAAGAACTCCGTAGCGAAGGCGTCCCACCACAAACTGTCACTTTCCTGTTGATGGACATCAAAGAACACTCGGGTTAGACGGAGGCAGGTCGGGGTTTCATCCAAATCTTGTCTGTTCTAAACGCGCTTTGGGACAATCCGGGTCGGTATGAACATGTTTATTATTTTCTATTTTTTAATAACCAAGAGTGTTCCCTTCATCCAGGTTGTTGCACTTGCGCTGCGGCATTTTTACATAAATTCAATATCGATTCGTTCAGATCAGATAAACGTGTTTGTGACCATTCCCGCTTTTCTATGAGACAAGATGAATGAAGAACATTGTTACTTGATACACGAAGCCGTCGGCGCAGCAGGGCAAGTATTACCTTTACTCTAGATTGATGTCCGTTTTCTTTCATGAAAAGGGCTTTTATGAGCTTTGTTTAAATCAATGTTCTTACATTTGGGTTTGAAAAAGGGTTCGAGTCTGAATACATGATGACAAGCACGTAAAAGACTCTTTTATGAAGCTTTATGGAGAGATAAGAAGAAGAAGGTTGACGGCCACAAAAAGAAATAAAACGCATTTAAAATCGCGTCTATAAATCAGGTTGTTGGCTGCCGGCCTCAGTAGTCACGGTACAGAGTATACGGGTCCACGTAGAGCCAAACGCTCGGCAACCTTTACTTTTCTTAAGCGCGGACTTCGGGGGATCCGGGCCTCGGGCTCCTGCAAGTCCAACAGCTTTATTTTTACCGCTGCTTCTACTTTTCACAGCAGGTGACTTTTGCCTTCAAGAGAGCTCTTCACGTCGTTATGACACATCAATCGACATGGTTATGATATTCTGAGTTGTTGTGTCCAGTAGTGGTGCTGGGGACCGTGGATGTATCAATAAGGAAACACAATACGTTTTTACACAGTGACAATAGCGACTTTAAACTATCCTTGAGGTCGGAAAACCAGCAGCTATGTGGCAAAGAAATAGTAGTAAAAAATAGTAACCCGCTGTGAGGGAACTCGTGACCTGAAATGATGCCTCCAACAGCCATTCAGCCCCTGGACCCCCACTCCAAAAAAGCCCTCAGGTCATGACCCCCCCCCCTCTGCTCCCCGGCCCTCGCCCCTGCAGCCCCCCCGACGTTTGGCAGACGCTGATTTCCTCCGACGCGCTACGACTGATCACTGCGCTGCGTTCAGGGACGGCGAGCACTTCCCAGATGTTGACAATTAGCGGCGTCGCCATGGAGCCCGATGAGCGGCGACCGGGGGGGGTCAGCTCCTCTCAGACGCGGAGGAGATGTGGTCAGGAGGACGGAAGTAATCCAGCTGCGGCGTGAAGGTCCTGAGGATGGACAACTGGGAGCAGCTTCATGTGGCAAATGGAAGACACCGTTTTCTTTTTCCTATAAAGGACAATCAGTTTTTTTTTCTCCACCACAGATGATGCAAAAGAGACATCCGTCTTTCCATAGTTGATTCATTTAACAACCTTTTTTTTGATTAATTGTTTAATCATTTGGTCCACGGACTGTTTTAAAAAATAAATAAAAGTGACAATCATCACAATTACCAAGATGTGAAATTACCAACTGACTTTTTTCTTCATTAATTGAGTTAATTAATTGTTCTTGTTGATCGATGGAACCATAACGGAAGACTAAAGTTACGGTAGCAGTTATGGCCTCACGTCTATCCTTTGTCACTTCGGTATCATGACTCCTTTTCCCAAATGTGACAATTGTGCAAAGTCCCTGCCAAACTGGGCCGACTGGGCCGCAACCATCATCCAGTGGACTGAAGAGGTTGACCAGTAGTGAGAGCTCCCCCACTGGGTCGATCCGTGTACTGTGTGGAGACGTGCCACCTTTCATCTGCGTATGCACACGCTTCACCAGCCAGCTGCCCGCTGGGAACGGACCGCTCAGCTGCCTGTGTGTGTGTGTGTGTCTGTGTGTGTGTGTCTGTGTGTGTGTGTGTGTGTGTGTGTGTGTGTGTGTGTGTGTCATAGTGAGAATCAGCTGGTGTCTGTTTCATATGAATACATCTATTTCACAAGAGACTGACGCAGGAGGACTGTGGTGCTGCTCGACCCATGATGCAGCACCAGGAGGGGACCAGACATATATATATATATTATATATATATATGCAGTTTATATGTGTGTATTTTTTTGGGATTTACCCACACACAGCAGATCTTTGATCGGCTCAACTTTGACCCTGAAATCTGCTCCTTGAATTAGTTTGAATGACAGAAACAAAAAAAAAAAAAACAATATAATTATATATCAACATAATTAATGCCATTTAAAAGTAACTGCTAAAGAAATAAAGTATTCACATGCTACTCTATAATTCCTTTTTTTTCTCCATCACATAGTTATGTATCGTGCAAACTCAAACACACCGATTATAGTTTTATTACGTGAAGTTCAGCGGTTACACTTTTCTGTTCTGGCGCCGAGCATAAAACCTTCCAGCTGAACTCTCCCAGCTGCTGAGACGGGTTTTTGGATTTCATGAAGAATTGTGATCTTCTTTTTGACACAAACTGACGTAAAGTGCTGCAGTCGTCGCTCGCTCTTTTAAAGACTCTCCATTAAGCTTCCTCTTGCTGTTTTAATGAAGTGTTTTACTTAAGCTCCCACTTCTCTTCTTCTACACAATTCTGTCTTCCATAAAATCCATCTGATTCAGTTTAACATTCCCCATGTTGAGATTTTCTCTTCCCACAAACTGCTTTTGTATCAAAAGAGTTGGTTTGGAGGGTCTAGTAATATTTTGCTGCGCGGGGGTCAAAGCATGGAGCATTTAGCTAAAACCCAAACCAACCAGACCCCTCATGGCAATTCACACTCCTCTATAAATGAAGCTAAACGTCAGAATCTTTCCATTAAACGCAGGCGATGCTCTATTTACAACCAGTAACCATTAATCCTCCACAGCTGGAGCTCTGGGCAGCTTCTTGGCCGGACCCTCGCCAAGTTGTAGAAAACGTGGCTGGCTGCGTTTGGCTCGGCTCTGAAGGCGGAGCAGCAGCTGAACCCGAGCCAGGCGGGTACGGAGAGCCGCTGAAGACCCGGCCAGTGGACGCCGGGCCACGCGGATCCCTCCGGGGCGGAAGCGGGCGCGGCCGCGCCCCCAAGCCTCCCGGTGCCACGGATGTGGTCTTCCCTTCCGATCCCTCGAACCTCCGAAGGACACGGGGACAGGAGCTGTGCCGCAAATGAGACGTATGCACCACAAATACCCCGTCAGCCCTTTTTTCGCTCCACCCCCGTGTCCGTCTCCCATCGTCTCCCATCGTCTCCTCTCTGACGGACCACGCGGCGTGACGATGTTCGTCGTCGAGCCCTACGGATCAGGCCGCCCACGGAGGGACCCGAGGTGAACGGGCGCAGCCGTGACGGCCGGCGGGGCTCCGATGAATCGAACGGATCGCGCGCCGTCTGAGGGGGATTTATCAATTGTGTCAATCGCCACGAAACCACCAGAGCCGGCCGGCCGGCGAGGATTTGCGGCAAATCCATAGGATTGGAGGGACGGCATATAGAGAGGATCCTCCATAAATAGCAAGAGAGCCGAGGGCTGAGACACAGGGTGGCGAGGCAGACAGAGGGACGTTCTCCATCGCGTTGTGAAGCCGTTCGCGTTCCCCCCAAAACACCCGCTCTGTGTTTTACATTTTTTCCAAGCGAGCCTTTGTCAGTCCCCCCCCAAACCCTCCCGCCCCTCCCGTCCGCCCGCCTGCTGTTGCGTCCAGCATCTTGTGGCAGAAAAGCCTCCAAGTGTAGGCGTGTCTGGGGCCTGACCTTGGAGAATTACCAATGTCTGAACCCCCATTCAGCGGCTGAATGGGCGACTGGTGGGCCCAGGAAGTTTTAGTGTTGTCAGAGACTCAAGGAGCTGCAGGTTATCGGGGAGCACAACGACTTAGCAGAACAACGCGCCGCGGAGACGCCTTCAGCCAGGTAGCTTTTGTTCGGGCGTTTGGCGAGGCCACTGACAGATGCAGCGCTTTGAAATGAAGTCCATTGAAATTGCGTATATATATATATATTTTCTTTACAGAGAAGGTCACTTCTCCTGAAACTTGGTAAACAGTTGATTACTTACATTAAAACAAATGTAGAAGTTTTCTTCCTATTGGTCTGAAAGAACACATCTAATGGTAAAATACCTAAAAATCCCAAAATGTGCCGGTGGATGATAAATAGTGTTTTTGCCTGTAGCGTCTTGCTACTTTCCCCGTTTTAAATATTTCTAAAATTAATATTTTTGAGCTTTGGACTGTTGGACACACAAAAAAAAAAAAAAATTAAATGAGACCAATTTTGGCTCTGCGACTTTTTCCCCTAATGCACCTTAACCGATCAAACTGCAGTGTGAAATCCCCAGACGTGGTGACCAATTTCCAAGACTTCCCCACACATGCAGGCGCTGTTTAGGGGTCCTCGGGATAACAAAGCAGACGCCCCCCCCCTCCTTTAGAGCACATGGACAACATTGCTTTGCTCAGGTCGGACTGACTGCACACACCCATGTTTCAGCCCAGGTTCCCCCCTGCAATGCAAACGTCACATGTTGCTGCATTTGGCCGCCTCACAGCCGCCAGCATTATGCAAACGAGGAGCAATGAATGCGGCACCGGTGGAGGGGGTGGGTTGGGGGGGTGGTGTACGGGGGGGGGGTTGGGGGGGCGGAGGCATCGCCCTTGAACAGCCACCGTAACCGAGAATGAACTTTCTCATGTAGATGAAGTCAGAGGGGAAGTTCCCACATTTAATTGCACGCCTGCCAACGAACTCGGGCCTCGTTACGACTCTCACGGAGCGCCAGACGCACACGCTGGCTGACGGGGGGAACCGCTGAAGGTTTGCACTCATTCCCTTTATTTTCCTCAATCTTTTTGTACAGAAAAACAGAACAAAAAAATTCTCAGAAGTGCAAACCTGAATCCTCTGGCGACCCCTCAGATTCGTCTTGTGACCCCACCGAGGGGGAAACACTAGATTACAGGATTTGCGGCTTTACGCCGTTTGATTCCATTGTGAATTCAA